GATCCAATTTGGATAGACTTATGAATTAATTTAGGGACAAAAATATTAATATTAAATACATAATATTTTGAAGAGAACACGTATGAGAATACATTTAAATATTATGGTTGCTCTAGTAGCCATCAGCCCTACAATCATAAAGATCTGTGGTTCGATTTTTCATGACATTATTTCTTTCATGACTTTTTACTGACTAAAATCAGCAATGTATTCTGCATTCTGTATTCACTATACACTTCGTCGCACTATATCGCTTTTGCTGATCTAAGAACTTAGCCTTTGGCTTTTTTTTGCAATGTCTTCATTTTTATTTTTCTATCAATTTCAGTCTCCTCTCTGGACGCCCCTTGAACTTCAGCTCGTTGTGCAGGCTGTCTCTGATTTGGGCTCTGACTACGCTGCCATCGCTATCCGTCTAGGCACGAAGACTCCTGGAATGGTGGCCGGCTTGTTCGAAACACAGGGCCATCGGCTTCGACTTAAGGAGGCCACCTTTCTAGCAAATGCGTCGAAAGCCTCAGCTGCAACTACTGACACGGGGACAGTTGAAGCGGTCTCCAATAATGCTTCAGTATCATCCACTTCTAGTAAGGATGGAGTTGCCTCGAAAAATCACTCTTTTTTAGCTCTATCTTCAATTTCCTAGACGTGTCACTCCCCATCCTAGATCTTTCTCGTGCTTACATCAGTTTATAGTTGACTTATAAGAAAGGCCAGCTATAGATGTGAACTAGATAATTATGATTGTTGAAGCTATTAAATGAAAGAAACTATTTTATGCTAATATAGTTCTCTATTTGCCTTGCCTCAAAATCTCATGTGTAATCATTCTTAGAATCTTATAGAATTCCTCTTCTAAATTCTGTCTCTTCTAGCCTTCCATGTTTCCGCTAAACTTAATTCGATACGTTCTCCAAATTCACCTTTTTATTGTCGCCATGTCTCTCAATTTAGCAATATGAATTTCGTTATTGTTTCTAAAAGAAATTTGCATTCTCTCTAGAGCTAATTCGCTACTTGAATAAGTTCGCCTTACTCTACAATGTCCTTAGGTTTAACACGGTTTAAGCATGAGCGGTTGAATTTTGCACCACTAGACTTATCCGTTTCACCTTTTTTCCATTATTACTTCTTCATCCGGACAATCCCATACACAAGCCTGACAATTATTTTTTTAAAGCTATCTACTTCAGCTCTTGATTCTTTTTTTTCTCCAAACTGTCTTAATGCTTCTATTTACACATCTTTACAAATTATTTTTTATGTATTAGCATGTACACTCTGCTTTACATTCTAATATTGAAAACCAATATACCTTTCACTCTCAAAATTACTCAAGTAGCTTTTTCGCTTAATATGCGTAAAACTTAAAGATATGCATTTTCACAAGTTTTTCCTAATTTGTGGGATATATTATTGTACAGATTATTCGCTTTCTGTTTACCGAATTGCTATCACTTTTTATGCCTTTTCAGAAGCTCCAGAAGACGCTCATAAAATGTCCTAGAGTGATGTTGGTCATTCCGGTTTATATTCGTTAAGCTAAATATAGCTTATATCGCTGTGTTATTTTTGTATGGTTTACTCTGGCTC